ATGGACAGGGTTGCGTTGCCGAGGTTTGCCCCGCGGGGCTCTTTGCCTGGCCTTGAGAAAGTTTCGGAAATGCCGATTTAACAGTATGGCTGCAGATGCTATGTGAACGCCTCTAGGTGACATCCACGGCTACGGTCTCATCAACTGCATCTTCGCCGCAGCTAGATAGGATGGACAGGGTTGCGTTGCCGAGGTTGGCCCCGCGGGGAGTCTTTGCCTGGCCTTGAGACAGTTTCGGATATGCAATGCCGATGTATTTAACAGCGTGGAAGTCATCAGCAGATCCTATGTGCACGACTTTAGGCGACATCTACGACAACGGCCTCAGCAACCGCATCCCCGCTGCAGCTAACGGGGATGGACAGGTCTTAGTTGCCCAGCTCGGGCCCCGCGGGGGCTCTTGAAAGCATTTAGACAATTGTGGAAATGCCGATGCTTGGAAGTCCCCAGCAGATCCAATGTGAGCGTCATTAGGTGACATCCACGACCACCACCTTCACAACCGCATCCTGCCGCATTCGATTCGGATTGACAGGTCTCAGCTTGGGTTTGGCTGCCGATATCGGGGCATGCAGGGAACTTGCTGGGCCTCGTGGTGCTTCTGAAATGCCGATGTGCGGAAGTCAGCGGAACCATCAGAAGCAAAGCTACGTGAGTCACCACAGGTGACCAACACGACAAGCACTGTCACGACAGCCATGGGCTTACTTTGGCAGGCAGCTGACTGAGCGTTGCTTCCGCGTGCTTGAAGTCTTCCGGCTCAGGCGACGTCATCAACTACCACGACTTTTTCTTCCACGTCGACGTCCTCCACATCGTCGTCCACAACCTCTTCGTCCACGACATTGTCGTCAACGACTGTGTCGTCAACAACAGTGTCTTCCACGACATCATCATCCACGACGCTTACGATCACAAGTACTACAACTTCCACAACTTTGTTGCGCAGCTGCTGCAGAATGTTGTCTTAGAATTTCTTGTCTAAATTTCAAAATGCTAAACTGCTGTGCTGTGCTTGGTGGTAGCTAGTAGTTAGCCAGGAAGAATGACTTCGCGCTGCCATCAACGGTGCGCGAGGACTCGCCCGAGGGCGCTGTCGTTGTGGTGCCTTGTCCTGTTCGGGGCTGGGAAGAACCAACAGGCAACTACTCTCGATATCTCAATTAATCTTTAGAACATGAGTGCCCCGATTTTCTCTGTTCGCGGCTTTCCCAGACCGAGAACATCGGTTTTTGAAGTCAGTAGTGACTTGCAGTTTGGCACACAGCTGGTTGGCTGAGGGGCTCGGTTTCTTGAGCAATGGTTTCCGAAGAATTGCCTTTTCCAGAGGGGGTGGTCGTCTAACAGACTGACACGTGGACCTCGACTTGTTTCCGTCGGAAGGGTGCTTTTTTTGGGTAGTGTCATCCGAGGCTGCGTTGGAGTCCGTGCTGCTCGCCACGAAGTCCTCGGAAGGGGCCGTCACAACGTCAACACCAACTGGGAACGTGACTCGGCCTTGCGCTGCGGGATCAGGCCCCTTTCGACGACAAAAACCAAGGTGACTGTGGTCAAGCTGACTGGTTCTGCAGCTAACTCCAGCACGCCAGACCAGAACCGCATGGCGGCTTGGCATGGCTGTAACATGCTGTAACCGTGTCAAGGGTCTGGTGTGCACACCTGGCTGCAAACCGTGGCTGAATGTGAATGTCTCCTTCACTGTGAAGGTGCTGCAGATCAACAACGGCAACGCCGGAGCCGGCACCGGCAACGACGCGTCATTGTCTACAGTGGCTGTGCCCTGCCTATTTCCTCGACAGCACCGAGTTAGTTCAGTTTGAGTTGGCACTGTGTGTTCCTTCGGCACCATGCTGAACTGACACGCCTCATCGACTCATCGCAGCTATTGTGGGCATATCTGAGGTTTCTGTGCCCTTGGCGGTAGCAGCCTGGCTAGGGAGTGGTCCGGGCTTGGAGTGCAGGGAAATTCTGCGACAAACGAGCTGGGGCGGTCCTCTGAAAGCCTAGGGCTTCGGACGGCTTTGCACCGATCCAAGTAGCTTGAGATGCTGCCGTGATGCCTGCTTCTGCCCTGTTTTTCCTCGTGTGTAAGTCGCATGAGCTACTGTAGTCATAGTCGACATCGGTAAACGGTTCACGTGGCACGAGAGTGGACATGTGCTGAAGTAAAGATGCAGGACACATCCCTGAGTCTAGGTGGAGGACCTGGCGCAGGGACAGAACGTGCTGTTGTCGGTCATGACAATCGCAGAGGCCCGGAGTGCTCGCAGTAGGAGGTGCATCGTGGCTTCCTCCAGCCAGGAGGTGTCCCTCACGCTGCCAAATGCAAACACCGAACGCGAGACTGCCGGAGGCCCAGTGAAACTGTCGGAGGCCTCGGAGTCTCTGAGTCGCCGAGGTCGAGGTCACTTCCAAGGTCATGGAGCTGTCGCTGGTCCTGGACTGCGTAACCACGTCAGCAGAACTGAGCACTCGTTCGGAGTTCGGAGTGCCGAAGGGCGACGTGCGACGAAGCCCTTACAAGAAGATGGCGCGCAAAGCTTTAAGCCCAAGCACGCCCAAAGCGAAAGTCAGCTCCAGAGCGTCAGAGGGCGAAGCCTAGAGCTGTGTGCAGGAAGCCGGGGGCGCCGTCACCGTGGCAAACGTGTCGGACCTGACCGAGCCCATCGCCTTTCGCTCCTCGCTCATGCATGTGCTTGTGAGCCACAGCTCCGCAAGTGCCTGTTTGTCACCAGCGGCCTAAGCTTTGCAATTTGCTGTGCTTAGAACTCGCTGCTGGCGAAGCCGTCCCGGGAGACCAATGTGCTTTCTTCGATCCAGCTGCTCGGATTGAGAGCTAGCCGCCTCGTCGAGAAGCCACGTGCTCCGAGCGGTACCAGCTTGCCTCACGTGGAGAACGGTGAGTTTCTTCGTGCCAGCCAAGGTTTCACAGACATGGTCTACGCAGGGCATGGGGAATGTGGACGCAGAGACGTTCACGGCGCTGCTTAGCAGAACGCTTGCCTTCCGTGTTAACGGGTTTCCAAGGCTGTTGCACACGCTCTTTCTTTGTCCGCGCGGTATTGCACTAATGCATTGGAACATGGACGTCGTGAATGGCCGCACCATGCTGTAAGCCGCAATCGTGTGTGTGTGTGTGTGTGTTGAGGCTGGGGCTGGGGAGCACGCCAGGCACTTGGAAGTGAAACCGCAGGCATACCGCTGCAGAGAACATGTCGCGAGACCGGACCTGCGTAGAGTAGCTCGACCTGTTGTGACTGTGTAGATTGTAGACAGCGTAGACCCTGTAGGCTTGCAGGGTTTGAGCATGTTTACCCGCATTCGCAATATTTCCAAGGATGAACGGAACCTGGTGCCTGACCACCCACACCTCAATGTTTGCTCTTGTCCGGGACTTGGAGACGACTGATGCTCTTTCTCGCTTACTCCGTGTGGGAGCAAGCTACACGTTGCAGCAGACCACATATCACTAAGCCCTAGGCATCCCCGCAAGCTCCCACTGGGCAAAGTTCCCCGCACCCTTCAGAGAGTGGCCAAAAGGTCCAGATCATCCCCTTTGAGTCCATGTGGGACCCAGAGGCGTGGAGAAAGCGTGTCAGGCGAATGTGAAGCAAATTCCGCCTCCAGGCAGGCACCCTGAACGCTAATGGTTACATCCTCGCCGGTGCCTTTGTGCCGCTTTTCTGCAAGTGTGCCGTTCTTAGGCATGAGGGCACTGGGCAGCGACACGATGCAACGGATCTAAGGGGCTTGGTGGTGTGTCTCATGCTCTGCTTCGCTCCTCGGCGCATCCAGTCCGGTGTGATGTACAGCTCTGAGAGTGTCACCTCAAAGCCCCGAGTCCCAAATTAGGAACCCAACAGAGGCTGCAAAAGCCGGCTCAACAATCCTAAACACCTCAGCCCCAAATCCATCTCAAGCTTTAGGCCGTAGAATTCGTACGGGGAGAGGATCCGGCGATACTCTCTGTTAGAGCACTGACATTCATTATATCGTCCGCTGACCACATTGACATTGCCTGACCTTCAAGGCCCTTGCAAAATCGACAGACTCAGGATCATGACCCCCTCAAATCCTTCAGCTAGGCCGCCTGTTCTTCACCAAAAACAGCAAGTACATAGATGGATTTTCTAAACCCTAAACCCTAAACCCTAAACCCCAAAACAACCAACCTTTGAATGTCTCGCCCCTAAGCGAGGCTTGCGGCCTTCTGGTCCGCCGGATGCGTCCAGCGGCGGCAGGGCAGACGGAGATCCAGGACCCTGGGCGACTTTGGGAGAGCGCTAGCGGTAGGCTTTAGGGACTTTAGGGACTTGGGGGTGGGTGTTGGGGGTGGGTTGGTTTCTGCTTCTGTTTTGGGGTGGGAGGGCTCACAATCACAGAGGAAGAAGCGTGTCATTTGACGATCCAGGTGATCGGACAATATTGTACAACCGCATCGAACAGAGCCATACCCCGCCTAGGATCGGATGGACCACGAGTCGCATACACGAATGAGCTATGTTGTATGGGGGTCTTAGCAATTCCTTCGCTTTTTTATCTTTAGTTTTTACTTTCCAGTGTGTCTACATTGCAACCTGGAGACATTCTGTGGGGAGGACACGAAGGGCAGACTTCATGCGGGGGTCCCAGTGAACCTGTATGAAAGCCTTTAAATTTCCCAGCCAGAAAGCAATGTGCCTTGCCTGCACACGTCTGAGGTCGTCACTTTCTCTCGATCACAAGTCATGGCAACATGGCGGAGATTGGTGGCTTCCGGTACAGAGGTCGAGCTTCGAAGCGCTGCGTGCTGAGGCCGAGACGAAGACAGTGGTCTCTGACGAAGATGACGAACACGAGGAGACCATGGATGCCAAGCAGAAGGCCAGCCCAACTTTAGCCTCCCTTCTGCATGGCATCGAAAACTCGCCTTCTTGCCTGGTTATGTATTTGCCCTTCTTTATAGATGACGAATTGTGTCTGCTATGGCGGAGCCGTCGAAGTTCTTTCTGCAGGGATTCGATTCCTGCAGCCGAGGCAGGCAGTACTAAACAACAAGGATTGGAGTTGACGGGGCCAAACAAGTTCAGATTCTCAAGAAGAAGCTCTGTCAACATGGAACTGAGATGATTGCAGGTGCACATTCGCTGGGACGTGGACCCTGCACCTTTGCTGACAAAGAGAGTGTGATCATCTCCTGTGAATGTTGACTTCATATGGTCATGAACCCAGTCTTGAAAGTCTGCATGTGTACGAGCGCTGATATAGTACTTCAAGTACTTCTGTTGCTCACTTGCAGAAGGCGACGGCATGCGGCATGTCGTTGTAACGAGGGGCATGTGACATGTGCTTCAACATCCAGCTCAGGGGCGATTCCTCCAGTAACTTGGACTCATACTGGCAATCACTGGTGACGAGGTTTCAGAGAGTTCAAGGGACGTAAAAAGGGGCGAATCCGGATCTGAGCTCTGAGCTCAGGAGGCTGAACCACCTCAAAGGCCATCGTTGGGTGTCCATGGCGGCTCAGCTGAGCATCTCGGGCGGTGTGTGGGGTGGGGGCGGGTAGGTCTAGCTGAAAGCTTGGCTGTGGACAGCAGAAGGGTACGTCGATGCACTTTTTTCTTGCAAGTGCTTGCATGTGCTGAGGACTTGAGAGCAAAGAGGGTGACCGGGGTCGCAGGCTCCGTGACTAAGGACAGCTTGCAGCTCCTAGTAAGTTGTACCGCCAGAGGGCCCCTCCATTTTGCGAGATGTCGGATGGCCTGAAAGAGTGAGCACCGAAAGACAAGACAATCTTGAACAACATCTGCGTCTGGTGCAGGAGGCATCGCAGTCCTATGCCAAACGGTCCTTCCGCAACATGTTGCAGGGAGTCGAGGGCGAGGACCTTTCTGCCACGAAGGCATAGAACAAAGATAGCTGTCCTGGCAGTGCGGGGCTAACCTAAAATGAAAGACCTTGTGGCATTTCTTGCAAGCTTGAAAAAGTGTGCAAACTATCCAGATCTTTTGAGAGGAAGCATCGGTAGCTCGTAGGCATCTGCACTGCAAAGCTGGGAAGCTTCAACGCGGTCCTCCGACTCCAGTTTTTTTATGCAGCCTATGCAACACAACTGCCCGATGACTGCGCATCAGGCGCGCACGCTGGCAAGAAACATCTGACGGAGTTGATTGGATGTAGCTTTCACATGTTTCTTGCAAGCTGAGATGTTTTGTGAAGCGCGCTTCCTTGAGAGAGGATGGCATGACGAAGAAGACAACGGACGCGGACGAGGCCTTTCATGGCAATTCCCGTCCTGCTCGTAGAAGAAGGCAGTGCGCAAACACAAAAACAGCAAAGTTCGGCTGGAGGCAGCGCAGATGGGCAGACAGGCCTTTTGAGAGATGCTGGTAGGGGGGGTTCGATGTTCAAGCTCACGAGCCAGGCGTCGGTGACCTCCGAAGCTTTCCTTGGCGCTGTGGAGTCCAATCAGGCACCAGCAGCATTACCACTCTTTTGAATTTGGAATGGATCCCGTGTGGCCGCAAAGAGTTTCCGCGATACATGGCCACTGAAGCGTGAACGCTGTGCTTTTGCTTTCCGCGTCGGCCAGAGCCATCAAGTGAACATGCGGGTTCGCCATTGCCGCTGGAAGCGACTGCTGAGGACAGCGGCGTTGCTAGAGAAGATTCCGAAATCTACGAGGACTCTCGGCCAGCAAGCAGATGTGACATGAGAACTGCCGCAGCAGTCGGGCTCTCTGGCACAGGTCAGCTTGCGGGGTGCAGCTTCAGACTTCGGCTTGGTTGAGGCCCAGGAGAAGTGCGTCAGCGTGCTCTCACCCATCGCCTTTGAACGCGGCAGGTTTCCGTGGACCCAAGCCCAGGCACTTGGGAGCCTTCGTCGGTCCCGCCCTGAGTTCGCTTGTCTCGATGTCATACCTGAGATTCTCAACGACAGGATCACTGAACCAAGTCAAATCGAAACGCACTGCCTGCGCTTGGATTACGGCAGAGGCATGGCAGGAGATGTACCAGGCGCGCGAGACGAGCTGCGATGCATCGGAGTTCTGTGGCCGAGCACGTCCATTTTTGTTGGCCTGGGTTCGGAAACGAAAGCTTCTGGCGCAACTCGCGAGGATGCTCAGCTGGTGCACTACTATTCCCACACTCATGGGCGGACGTGAGGGGCTCGGCGTGTCTGAAAGCTTTGAAGTTTCTTGCATTCGACTCCTGCTTACTGTGTCACAGACGGCAAACTCATGAAATGCCGAGCGCAGTGCAACACGTGACGTCCGGTAGACGGGAAGCGCTGAGCTGGAAAGGCTTCCCGTTTTTTTTCGCTCGGAGCCGAGGCTGCTGGGCTTCATCCAGGGTTCGGGCCAGTTCATGGGGACGGACGCGGACGAGCTCCTCGGCCCAGACACAGGGGGGGACTTATCTGGCCGCTTTTCGATTGCCATTGAAGTTGTGCTGCTCGGCTGTTCTTGTGCAGTTTTCGTGCATGCATCGTTACTGCAAGCAAGATCAGCTCGCTCGCCTCTCAGTGTGTGTTGGGCGTGCGTGCATTGCAGTGCCGGTCTCCACGATTGGTCACATCGTGCTCTGCATAAGGCTGCCACGCTACAACTGCGCCATCGGCGTGCGAAGGCAACTTCGCAGGACCTGGAACCAAGACCAGCCCACCTATATGAATTGCATCGAGCAGCAAACATGAAAACTATTGTACTACGATGTTTAGTCGACAGAAAGTTCAGGCGGAGATCCGTCAGCAATTCTGAAGGACCGATACTAACTGCTTGCTACCCATTACAAACCACCAGCTAGTTGCGAACTATAAAATAAACTACGAACTTCGAACTACCACCATCGACTGATGACTAATGATTCCGTACTGCACACTACTTCCTACTTGCGACTTCGTAAGCTTACTTCGTAGTGCTTGCTACTTTCTACTTACTGCTTACAGTTTGACAATTGGCTACTTACTACGTGCTGCTCATTACTTGTTGGCTACCTACCAGCCAGTTGTTTGTTTCGTGCTGCCAGTTTCTGGGTTCCGGTCACTACTTGCTGGCTACTCCCTGTTGCTGACAACCAGCCTCCAGCTACTACCCACCATCCACTCCTCATTGCCACTACTTACTACGACGACCACAACGAAGACGACTACGACGACGACGACGACGACGACGACGATGGCTGCCTCGGGCTGCTGCTGCTGCTCCTACTACTGCTGCTACTACGACTACTACTACTACTACTACTACTACTACTACTACTACTGCTTCTGCTACTACTACGACGACGACGACGACGACGACTACTACTACTACTACTACTAGTACTAGTACTACTACTACTACTACCGCTGCCACACTGCTGTTGCTGGCTCTGCCGCTGCCACTACAGTCACGCGGATAGAAAGACTGAGCACCCGAAACTACAAGAAGAGATGGACAATTGTTGCCGTGATTGCCCATCACCAGGCTCTGAGACGGAGACAGGCTTTAAATTGGGATTCCCTGCCAGGATGGTCCCGCTGACAGACCTCCGCCCGCCGTTCAGAGGCAGCAGCCACATGTGTGTACACTGTACACGTCAGATGTAGGCATAGGAAGCATACAAATCCGTACCAGCGTGTTCACCTTGGCGACATTCGATAGCACAGCAGCCAGAAGACAGTGCAAGTCCGTGCCAGAAGTAGTAACAGACACTGCCCTAAACGAAGCGGGGCTTTATCCAACACCAGCCGGAACTCGCAAGTGCCGGGAAGGCCTGGCCTTGCACCCACACCTTCCGTTACAGGAGGTCCAGGCACACACTTTGAGCAGCAACAACAAAGGTGTCCTGGACTCCTGCGGACAGGCCTGTTGTTGCAGCTGTCTGAGCACCTCCTCGTAAAGGTCACTCCTCGTAAAGGTCATACCGAACTTGGCCAAATCACTGCGATGTCAAGGGAGTCCCACTGCCATGCACCTGTGCAAGACCCGAGACGCTGGAGTGCCAAAGCCTGGGACGAGCATTCGTGCCGAAAGACAGTTGTCCGAAGTAGAAGCCCTTTAGACCCCGTCTCTTGGGGCCCGGGATGTTGATGGCTAAGGGGTGTGCCAATGCGGCCGTGGACACGCTCAAACGCAGGTCTGGAGTACGTTGCTGTGCCAAACCCCGAATCTATCTTCGAGCACCCGAGAGTCGAAATAAAGCTTGAGCTGCGGTTCAAGTCACGAAACCTGCGCTCTGCCGCATGGCCCGCAGAAAGCAGATGGAGGATGCTGCTCTTTTCATCAGCTGGAGGAAGCAAAGGATCTGCTTTGGGTGTGTGTGGCTGCTCGGATCATGGTCTAGGCCTAGGTGCGTCGAGACCACCCTCTTTGAGGCGATGTGAGGCGATGCATGCTGAGAATTTGGAAACCACGACCGGGGTTGCGATCCGAACATGGACAATAGGACCTTGACTTCGGCACTGTGTGTCCATGGTTGACTGTGGCAGGTGGCGATCCCGTCATGGTTTTTCTGGTGCCTTGGCCGGAAGTAGACTGGAGGAGGTGCATCGTTTCTTCTTTGCAGGCTGCTTTTGCGGTTTGAAGTATTGCAGCCCATGTGTAATCTCAGGAGGATGAGAGGACGGGGCTGCTTTACATCCGAGTTCGAGACTTGACTCGAGCCTAGAAGAGAAGAGCGGACAGGACCTGGCATCCTGGAGCCATAGCAGCGACGCCTGCCCTCGCCCTCCACCATGCAGCGAAGTTCCAGGTTTTGGACCCACAGAGCAAAGACTCGTGTAAGTGTAAGTCTGTTCAGCTGCTCCCACCAGTGCAACACCAGCGAAGTGGGAACCGCAGGTGTCGGTCCTGGACATGGACGCGTCGGGTGCCGTGCTGCGGGGCCCACGCCCAGGCGTCTGCTTTGCAACGGAGCGAGTGGAGCGATGCCTGCGCCTTGTTCCGTCGGATTCGGCAGGCTCCCGTCTTCTCCTCACAGACGTTCCCTTCGAAAGGACTTCCTCTCCTGCTCTTTCGTGGCTGAGACACGGAAGCCTGAAAGCCCCTGAGGATACGGCGTCGCTTCCCGTGCCTCGGTGGAAGAGCGGGCTCCGTTTTGCGCCCGAGAACGTGAGATGTTTCTGAGGAAGGGCCACAGAATCCGGGCCTACAGAGGCGGCGACTGCGGCGGAACCTATGTACAACCAAGAGCTACTGCCCAGTCATCGGGTTTTCGCAAGCAGGAAGGCAGGTGATACTGTAACCTCCCAGCAGTACCATGTCCGCTGCCAAGCTTGGCTTGAACCATGTTGCGAGGCATGAAGTCGGTATCGAGAAAGACACGCTGTTTACTTTCCGCAGAAGCATTCTCACAACTTAGGTCTGAGGGCTTTGAGTCTGAGTGGTAGTAGACTTCTGAGATATTTTGGAGGTATTTTGATTTTTGAAGGTATTGTGTGGTGCACCAGGAACCAACTGAGATTCGGCACAGGCAGACAGGGCTGCCATGGCTCGCCACGCGGTGCTTCTATTGGCATGTGCTGCATGGTCGACGTTGGCGGAAAAGTGCGATGACTTCCGCTGTCCCAGCGGTTCCGAGCCCAGACAAGGTGAGGAGGGCCGAACGTCGGAAGAGTGCTGCCAGCGCCTGTGCAGCAGCTTCAACTGTCCATCACACTCGGGCTTCGTGTCCATCAACAATGTGTCTGCAGCCGGACTCACGACCGCGTCGTGTTGCAGAAAACTTCCCTCCTGCACCGAAAACTCCCGATATGTGCCACTGAGCAGTCCCAGCTTGGACGAAGGGCGGGCGGAGGTTGCGGCCTCGTCCATCGAATGTGCGGAGCGGTGCCAGGCCAGTACTGGATGCGTTGGATTCACCTGGTTGTCCGACTCCAGCTGTCACCTGGCCGGTGCCAATGCAACCTTGCGCTTCATGCCCGGTGGAGTCAGTGGCAACACGACCTGCCACTCCTTGCGGCCGCACCTGCAACGGAGAGAAGACGTCAAGGTCCATGAATTCTGCCAGCGGCAACCAGGGAGGTGCACCGGCAAGGTTCACCAGCTCTTTGCCCAAGCGAGCCCACAGATCCTGTCAAGCGGACTCTTGTCAACACTGGTGGGTTTGCACAGGATTCTTTTGAGTCGCTGTAGTTCCCCTCTATCCTGGTCAGGCAGCAGCTCGCAGCTGGACCTGGCAGGCGGGATGTAGCAAAGTCAGCTTTTGCAGACGTCCGCCGTCGCTCCACAAGGTGTTGCAGTGGTGGACTGGGATGCCGATGGTCGTCTCGATGTGGTAGCTGAGCGAAGAAGTAAGCCAGGATAGTGCATCACAAGGCATGACTTATGGGCCTTGTAGACGTGAGTTGCTTCAGGACGCTCTAGGCCCTAGGCTCTGAAGTCTGACTTCTGAGGGGAGGGACCAAGATTTGGATTCTGCAGACTCTTTGGCCGCTTCAAAAGGGACACCGTGGCACGTCACCGGGTGCGCCAAATCCGCTCCGACCCAGCAAAGCTCTGGAAAGTGACACAAAGACAGTCCTCAAACTCACGAGGAGGAGCCACAGGTGAGTACTCTGAGTACACGTGGAATCCAAGGTGACTTCTCATGGAAGTGGGCGCTTGGGCCTCTTCTTGCAAGGCTCGGATGGGAAGTTTTCTGCTTCCACGGACAACCCCTTCCGCTCCGAGTCTCAATAAGACTCTTGCCCATGCTCTGAGCTTGAACTCAAGTCCGGTCGCATCTCTCTCCTGCGGTCGGAGTGGCGAGTGGTGAGCTGAAGTGTCAACAAGCCGAGGTTCCATCGAAGTCGGGGAGTCTGCGAAGCCCACGATCTTTGATTGGGACGGCGATGGGGAGCTGGATGTCTTGGTGGGCAATGCAGACGGGGATCTCAAGTTCCTGAAGCTTAGTGCACTCAGTCATACTGTAGTGGCCAGCATCCCTTCGGTTTTCATCATTTCCGCCTAAGGAAAGGTTCGGGAGATGGTGCTGTGGCCATGACCTGGAATTGGTACCCCTTCAGCACGCTGACAACCCTTGGTCGCACGGCACCTGCCATGGCAGACTTGACGGACGATGGGCACCCAGATTTAGTCCTGGGTCACGGATGTCAGCTGGATGTGCAACTCGGTGCTGAGAAGGGAAGGAGATATGACGGACAGATAGGACGAGATGTAACGAGATATGAACGCACGTCGCAGCACCGCAGGTACCTGGGACAGGGCAACCACTCCCTTGCACTCACGGCGTCTCATGACTTCGCGTCCTCGGGCTCCTCGGGCTCCTGTGCCGTTGTCCCGACAGTGTGGGACTGGGACGGCGACGGGATGAAGGAAGTGATTGTTGGGGACCAGGCTGGAAAATTCCATCTCTGCCGGCTCATCAACGGTCGCTTAGCCCAAGCAAAGCAGTGGGATTTATGGGGCCTGTGTTGAAGTCGGAGGGCTCGGCCGGAAGTCAGAAGCGATTCCGTGTTCTACCCTGGACGATCCAAGGAACCACACTCACTTGCGACTCCTTGGAGGGCTACGGCGTCGGCGAGATGGCGTCGCCCTCTGCGTGTGACTGGGACTCTGACGGAGTTCCGGACCTCATCGTCCAGTCTCGGGGCCTCCAGGACCTGGCCTGGTTTCGCAGAGGCCCCAGGCCGGACGTCTTGGAGGTTCCCGCCAAGAAAGAGCCGGCGCTGTTTGGCTTTGACGTGGGTGAGTCCGCCGTGCCTGTCTTGGTCGACTGGGACCTGGATGGAGATCTCGATCTGATTGTCGGAAGCGCTGATGGAAGGTTGTGGTTCTTTCCCCAAGAGAACGGCGAGTTCGTATCCTCAAATCATCCCGACGGGCCCTTCGCCAGCGTGGACGCCGGAACCCAAGCATCGGACAGGAGCCACGGCATTCGCGTGCCATTGAGTGGCAGCTGAGGTCGGGTCAAACTGTGCACCTACAGCGGTCGACTGGGATTCCGATGGGTTTCCAGCCGCTCTGCAAAATGTCTGGCGGCTGTACTGCAGAGCCCGCAGGGTCGCAAGCCAGTCTTCCGGAACTGCAAGTAAGGGATGTCACAGGCAGGTCGCGGTCGACCAAGATGCGATAATGATGGCGGGGGCGAAAAGCTAAGAAGACCCGAAGAGTGTGGAAAGCAAGGCGCAAGCGACAGACCACGTTTTCACAGCGCTAAACCCTGGTGACACAGGGAAGCAGTAAGACTGGTTGACTCACCTAAGCCTTAAACCCATCTCAACCCGACCCAGGATCTCATCCTCGGCAGTGGTCAGGGACGGCTGACCCTGCTGCGCGGAGGCAGTGCCGAGCCGCTGCTGGAGGACAGCCAGTTGCTCACACAGGAAGGGTTCTTCCAGGGATCTTCTTTGGGTTTCTTTCAGGGGTCTGTCGGATTTTAGGGTTTGTGCACGTGCTGTTCTTAAAATTCTGCAGGGGCAGCGACTTTTTGCTTCCGTGGACCTGAAGACGCGGGTGCAGCCGGCCGTGGTAGACTGGGACAGCGACGGCCACCAAGCTGCGTGTGGCTTCGTCAGGTCCAAACGTATTTCCTCTGTCAAATCACCGCAGTGTCAGACGTGTGTTGAGACAGTTGATGCAGAGCTCGCTGAGCACATTCCATCCAAGGAGATCTGGACCTTCTCCTGCTTGCCGGTGGTCGGATCCAATATTTCAGAAACGAGCACGGCCGTTTTGTGCAGGCAGTTACTAGCTTCGTGTCACTTCCATGCCATCTTCGGAAGGCTACTGCAGACATAAGGCAGCCTCAGCAACGAGTAGCTTCGACTGCACCCAAAACGAAGGGCAAGCAAACACTGGAGGTCGCACCGGAGTATCGTGATGCGACAAGCAAACATTTGAAGCCAAGCAGACGAACGCTGAAACTCAAGACGCGCCTAGCGATGCACGGCAAGACGGACCAGCGATGCAAAGAGGAGTGAATCGTTGTTCCATTGGCAGAAACCACATGCCTGTGAGCAAGAACTCGGTTTGCACTCTCCTTCACATGTTGCATGCTGGCTTTCAATAGGATGCTGACCGACCGAATCGACAGACGTTTTGCACATTTCACACAGCGTCTCACAGCGTCTTCGTTGCCGACTGTTGAAATCACTTCGGTGCCTCTTCGGTGCTGCCTGCAGGTTCCGGACGAGTACAGCCCTTTCTCACAGGTTGGTGATGTACTTCGCCGCCAGGGGCTTTCGACGGATGACTCTCTGTGCTTGCAGGCTGTTTGCCAACAGCTCCCATCCGAAAGCAGCTGTGTAGTCTGCTGGGTTTTGCCAGGCGATCGACGCAGATTCCGATGGAGACTGGGACCTCGTAGTGGGAGGGTTGCTACTGGAGCAGCTGTCCGACGGCACTTTAAAGTATCTGACCGGAAGCGACAGTGCCTTTCCCAGTCAGTGGCCTTGGCCTGCGGATGGGCCTCCGTGCCTTGCGTACGGCGACTTGGACATGGATGGGGTCCTGGACCTGGTGGTGGGCTTCCGAGATGCTGGGAAGGCATTCAGTAGATTTTATCATATATTATCCTTGCCCTTGAAGCGACCGCAATCGACGGAACTTTTGTGATCTAGGACGGGAGGCTGGATCTCGGGCTCGGCAAACTCGGCGATGATTTCAAGGCTCAGGAGGGACTCGCGAACCCTGTGGGTGATCTTGGGCTGGGTATGGCCCGCAAGACGCCGGGCATCGTCGATTGGGATGGGGATGGCAAGGGCGATCTCCTCGTCTCGGCGGACGGCATGCGGCTCTTTCTGCATGAAGCAGACGGGTCTTTGAAGGAGACCACGACCAAGCTCGCTTCTCTTGAGGGGCGCTCCCCGTTGTCGATCGTGACTGTGGATTGGACGATGGATGGAGATGATGACATCCTTCTTATCGAGAAGCAAGCCTTGGTACTTCTGGAGCGGAGCGGCTCAGAAGGCTTTCTGCCAGCCTTTGAGGTGTTCCACTGGTCGCTTCGCGATGGGTTGCCCACCGTCACGGGAGGAACCGTGGCAGATTGGGATGAAGACGGACTGTTCGACGTCCTCGTCGGCCTCGAATCCGGTAGGCTGCAGCACTGGCGCCAGCGTGCTTCCGGGCAGATGCAACTGGTACCGGAGGCCGGGTCCTGGTAGGGCATTCAGAAGGAGCTAAGATGAGCTAAGCAACTAGCCTAGCCGATAATCCAGTGCTGGGCTACTCTTTGATACGCAAAAGTTGCTGTTGCATCGCACTCTGTGGACGCGTGAGGACGAGAGCCCCTTTGCGGGGATTGTTGGGGAAGGCTCAGCCCAACCTGCGATGGCAGATGTTAACGGAGACGGAAAGCCGGAGCCTCGTCAAAGACCCTTCAGAATTTTCCATGTGCTTTGAAAGTATTCGTGGTGGGGAACAGAGCGACACTAAGCTTCGTCATCAAGTCCTCGTTTTTAAATCGGCTTATGAGACTGCCATGCCTTCTGTCCTCAGGACTTGATTCTGGGATCATCTGGCCGGCTGCAGATCTACCTTCAAGACGAGGAAGGCAAACTGATCCGAAGGCACGGCTCCAAAGTTTGAAAACTTTTCGGTGGCTTTCGCTTGTGGTGCTGCTCGTGAAAGGCACGTGCTGGATGGCTTCCGAGGGGATGTTGTGCCGGTGGCAGCCGATTGGGATGGCGACACCGGGCTTGCTCAACACTGTTTTGCAGTTCTGCTGGTTTGCTGGAACTGGACTTCATGACACGGTGTGACTTGTGACAGCTAGGACGGCGAGAGCGAGATCATTCTGGGCACGTCTTCAAACGACCTGGTGTATCTGGATCAGGGCCCGTGTGCTCCAAGAGACGCCTGCCTGGGACAGTCCGGGCTTTGCAACTCCAAGAGCCAGGTTTGCGAGTGCCTACCAGGCCGGCTGCAAAAGACTTTTTCCGAAGTCGTTTTGTGCATTGCTGTGCAGGCCATAGTGGCATCGACTGTTCCAAGTGTGCCACGGGCTTCAGTTCTACGCCCAGGAACTCCGAGCGGGGCCACGATTGCTACCCGTGCCCAGGAAATTCAGGCGCCTGCAGTCACAGAGGAGTCTGCGTGGACGACCACTACGTACAGGCTGCGGCTGTGGGGCGAAGGGAGATCTCGGATCCACGGCTTCTTCGTGGAAATGGAAGCTGCGTCTGTCATCCCAACTACTTCGGAAAGGCTTGGTTGCAAAGCGTCCAAATCCTCCCCAAGATTCTTCATTCCCAAGAATCTCAGTCACCTGCATAGTTATTTCATAATTTCACGGTAACTTACTAGACTATGGCTATGTCACAGTAGCCCAAACACAGGAAACTGGGCTTCTACGGATCCCTCCTGTCTCCTTCAGGACTGCGTGCAGGGCGAGTGCCCTGCTGGCCAGGAGCCCGCGGCAGACCTGGCGTCCGGGTGGAGCACTCAGCTCGCCTCGGATGCTTGCATAAAGCTGTATCTAATATGCATATATATACACACACACACGTGATGTCCGGGTGTGTGTATGCACAGACATGCGTGCATGCATTCATACATGCATGGGCACAGGCAGAGGCACACCCAGACAGACCGACGGCATCGCAGAGACTGAGACAGACATACGTGCATACACACACAGACATGTACTATGCGGCATACACACATACATGCATATGTATGGTGTTTGTGTTTTGGTGGGATTGATTTCTTGTAGGCATGGATGCATGCATGCATATAATGTAGGCTATGTATCCATGCCTGCATGTAAGAAGGTATGTATGTCTACGTGCGAGCACCGGTATGCATGTGCGTGTGTGTGTATGTGATTGTGTGTGTGTCTCTGTTTGTACATGTATGTGCGTGCACGTCTGTCTGTCGTCTGGCCGTCTGTCTGTCTGTCTGTCTGCTTGTCTGCTTGCCTGCCTGCCTGCCTGCATGGATAATATATCTATGCATGTATATATGTATGTATGCACGTATGTAATGCATGTGATGCATGCATGGATGTATGTATGTACGTACGTACGCATGTATGTATGTACGTACGTGTGTACGTATGTATGCATGCATGTATGTATGTACGTACGCATGCATGTGTGTATGTATGCTTGTATGTATGCTTGTATGTATGTATGTATGTATGTATGTATGTATGTATGTATGTACGTATGTATGTATGTATGTATGTATGTATTTATGTATGTATGGATGTATGTGTGTATGTGTGTATGTGTGTATGTGTGTGTATGTATGTTCCTGTGTTTATCGTATGGCT